TTTCCCGTGAAGAAACGTTTTAGAAGAAACGTTTTATTCATTTAATAAGTGTATTTGCATTGATAAGACCAGGGAAAACTACTTTCCCATGGACTAAATGATCATCTGTATAAGGCAATTCGTTTGGATCTCATTAATTGTAATTCACTATATATATATATATATATATATATATATATATATATATATATAATCGTGTGTTGACTTCAATGTTCACTTGTATATTTACACACGCTCTGTCTTATAGGACACCTTAAGAGTATATTTCTTTATATATATATATATATATATGTGTGCGTGTGTGTGTGCATGCAAATAGGAAATAATCCGGAGTTCTTTAGTATTTTGTTTTTATTTTTAAAAAACAGTGCCCCCATACAGAAGTAGAGCTTAAATTATAATTATTTAAAAAAAATATGATTCCTAAATTTTCGCTTGAGAATGAAACAGGGCTTGATACTTTAACTCAATTAAATTTTAATATTTTTAAAAAATAATTATATATATATATATATATATATATATATATATATATATATATATATATATATATATATATATATATGTATCCTCTCTCTCTATATATATGTATCCTCTCTCTCTCTCTATATATATATATATATATATATATATATATTTTTATTTGTTGGATAGATGTGAGTTTGTAACCCTGGGTTTCACGCTTTAGCGATCGTCAGACAAACTCTCTCTCTATATATATATATATAAAGAGCGATAACAGTTACTGGACTTGAGAAACCTATTTTTCTGAAAAATTATTTTAAGAGAAAGATTTTATAAATTTCACAGAAGCATTGGTTGCTGGTTCAATGAATGACGAATATTTCTTTGCAAGGAAACTGCTAATATTTAGGGGAGGAAAATGTGGAGGCCGGTTATAAGATCATACAGCATATCTGCTTTCTTATGAAAAAAGAAAATAACTGCTGATTCAATGTAAAATAATTACAAATTAAAAAAAAAAAATCATTAAGCATCTACAAACTTCTGACGCCAAAATTTAAATTTAAAACTCATTGTGTTTGTACCGTTAATGTTTTCAATCAGCGTTTGTTGTATTTTTTCCTTTCTCTCTCCTAGATATAAGACTGTGTCTGTACAAAAAACCATTATTAGCCTGAAGAGGATCACATCTCTGAACGGAGCGTGTTACCAAGTAGTATTTTTTTTGTATTTTTTTACTTTTATCCATTAAAAAAAAGAAAATGTATTTTCAAAAATAATCTTTAATACTGTATACTGGCAGACACTGCTACGCGTACCGGCATCGTTATGCGTCCCACGTCAAAAATCAGGTTACGTCGCACCGCAGGAACGGATCTCCGAGGTAAGTCGAGGACCCCCTCTATAATGGTAGTAGCAATATTTCCTTATAAGGAAACATTTGGCATTCATTAATCGAGCAGCAAGTTCTACCTTCGTTGAAATTTATAAAACCTTTCTCTTAAAACAATTTATCATGAAATTATGTTTTATTGCTCTTTTCCGTTTTGACAGTGGCGGTTTCCTTCCTAACTTTTTGTTCGGAGTAGTGTGGAACGTGAATATTTTGATGATTTCCATTTTAGTTTTTGCTGTTGTTGAAAGTCCAAAAATGATGTGGTTTCTTTTATTTGGTACAGTTCTTTGTCTGTGATTCTGTAGCGCCAGTTCACAGGGTTCGGTTGTTAAGACCATCATTCGGTCGAAAGTTACATTTAACCATTGATCTGAGTTGTATACAGCTGACAGTTTAGATATTTCTGAAAGGGGTTTGGTGACACGCAAGGCATTCATATAAAAGTCTCGTTATAACGAAGTTATTTAAAAACATGATTTGAGTTTACAGGTTAATGTTTTAGTTTTGTAGCAATTGGCGGTGTTGAGCTAAACTCTTTCTAGCACAGCCTATTCAATTTCCTCGTTTCACATATTAAATTTGTTATAACTGATATATGCACAGAGGTATTTGAAGTGTTTATTCTACCAATGGAATTTTAGTTATAAATTTACATTATGTGGTGTCACTGTCTTCATTCCAATTCCAGATCATTTTTGGAAACGATTATATTTCTTGGAACACTTGATGAAGGATGTTGATTTATTTTTGTTTAATATCATCTTCATTCTAAGTATGAATGCCGATATCATCATTATAAAAGCTGTAAATCTTCTTTTTAAACTATAACTCTATTTAGAAATCTAATAAATTCTTTCATTGCACCATTTTATACGATTGATTTTAACACGCACGGAACTGAGATCAAGATTATTGAAACCTGTACAAAGATTTTAAAATAACCTCTGCCTATGCAAGAAGCTGCTTTTCAGGTGTGGGGGTAGATTCGACCTTACATAGGTATCCATCTTTTTTTTTTCTTAAACAAAATATATTTCGTATATAAATCATGCAATGCGAGCAATGCAACAGTTAGCGACTCAGAAAGAGAAATTGGTGAGACGGGTTCGAATTCCGGTCGACGTCGTAACTGTCATTTTTGCACACATAGCCCATGTGAAAGGTTTCCCCCTTTCCCTCCTCTCTAATGCCCCAGGGGTCTATATATGGAACCTGTGAAAGGAGTAGTGACACATGAAGATTGCTTGCGGCGTTAAACTGATAGTTAACATGCAATGTATCCATTTCTTCTCAGCCAAGCTATGGATTGAATAGAAGATCTCTCTGGCTCCTCTTGCTTTGAAACCAGTATAAGGAAAGGAAAACTCAGAATTCCAAACCAAACTTGAACAGGGATAGGTTTCGTCAGGTTATCTTTCCCTAGACACATCTCAGCATATACTGCAGGTACGATTGCAGTGTATATAGTGCTACTACGATTCAAAAGGGTTACGGCCCTTCTAACGTCCTAACGGGGAATGAATTGTATGTCAGTCTAAGCTAATGGTAGTAGCTAACAACATAAATTCATATATGCGTGTGTGGGTATTTTTTTTTCTATTTGTCTCCATGTATTTGCGTATAAAATAAAATGATAATAAAAAAAAAGAAGTTGTGAGACCTTGATAATATCAATTATTTTTTCTTCGTCTTCTGATAGAGAAAGGTCACTTTGATAAAACTGATATTCATCACGTATCATCGTAAACGATGTGCGTTCGTTTGCTGAAGCAGTTGAGCGCGGCCTTCCTTGTGGGACGTGAATATTATTCATTCACTAATGGATCGGTGTAATTATGACATTTATGTTGTAATAAAACAGAAAGATGATCAGAGGTGAGATGAATTCGCAAAGGTGACGTCATCAAATTAACGAAACTAATTAAACAATCCTTGGAACTGAGAAAATTGTCACGTGGAAATAAAAGTCACACAACGAGTAAAAGGAATGAGAGAGAGAGAAAGGGAGAGAAGGACCGAGAGACAGAGAAAGGGTGAGAAGGAAGGAGAGACAGAGAAAGGGTGAGAAGGAAGGAGAGAGAGAGAGAGAGAAAACTCCGCCTGAGACGAATAGAGAGAAAGATTATTGAGGAAGAAAAAATTTCCGATGTATTGGGAATGAGAAATGTCAAAATGAGGTGTATATATATATATATATATATATGATAGTTAAGTAATTCGCCGAGTCTAGAACAAACCTCAAGAGAATGCAGAAAGCACTGGACGGACGTTTTGTTCTATTTCTGGGACTACATGAGCGATGTGTTTCCACTACCGAGAATTAAATCCGGAACATTACGATACGACGCAAGCGTCACACCAACTGTACCAACGGTCCTCGCTGACGAAGAGGTAACGAATTATACCCAATATAGCGCCGCTCTTCACAAATTGCGTCGTGTAACTATTATCCCCAAGCTGCTCCATGGATGGATAAACGTCTTAACTAATAACCTAAAAAATGGAGTGGCTTGAGGATAGTAGTCGTAGCCCGTGGGGGGGGGGCAGTATGAGTTGCACCACGAAATTTGTAATAAATATACATATTATCCCTCACCGATAGCACAACTGGGATTTTTATGCAAAACGCAGTCTTTAGATGCAGAATATAAAGTGACCGTTACGTAATTTAAATTTTAACAAAAATATCTGGTTATCGCAATGTTGTTGCTGTTATATATTATTCTCGGATTACATATTTTTTCAAGATCGTATCTCAGCCTGTCAAGGTCCTTTGTTGGTTGTAAATCTTCCCTAATTGATGGGGAAGAATGGGTCATTATTATGCGACCCTGGTCCAATGCATGTTGGTAGGATCAGATGTGACTTCCTTAGTCGATCAGGTCTCATTGCGATTCATAATCACCCAACGGTGTTTGCTTGTAAGTCAATATAAGAAACCCGACTGGAAATTGAACTCGGATATCCATTTTTTCATTCTGAACCACCATCCATTACTCTATCAGAACATTGCCCACTGAGACCTGGTCTTCCCAAGCGGTCACCCATTTGAGTACTGAGAAGACTCGACGTTGCTTAACTTTGGTGTTCTGATAAGAACCTGGGTTTCATCGTGATATCGCCATATGATTTTAAGAAGATAAGAATCTACAAAGATGTGGCTGAAGTGTTTTGCATTTAGGTTTTTTCCTTTTAGCCCAAGATTTCCATTTTTCCCTTTTCTTCTCCCCGATTCTATTCCCGTTTTTTTTTTTAATATAATTTCCATCCGTTTTATTTTCTTATTCGGCAGTTTTCTCGTCTAATTTTCTCCGTTCTCAGCAAATCTCATTCGAATGAGAATTCACACATATTCTGACGATGACACGAGTTGCCACCAATGGAGATGGAGACGCTGATGTTACTAAGACAGTAATTAAAAAAAAACATCACCATAATGAAACGGAGACAATAAAGTTAAATATAAAATTAGACTAAGATGCAAAATTCGGAAAGACACACCCTTCGGTGATATAATAGCTGTCTATATCTCTGAGATGAGGTATTATGATTATTTACATTATTCGGACTGTTATCCTCATCTTCATTGCCATATTCACAAGGACACATGGCCCAGTGGATAAAGACATTGGTTAGATCCAGTGACAAGCTTCTAGTGATATAATGGCTGTCTATATCTCTGAGATGAGGTATTATGATTACTTACATTATTTACATTATTCGGACTGTTATCCTCATCTTCATTGCCATATTCACAAGGACACATGGCCCAGTGGATAAAGACGTTGGTTAGATCCAGTGACTTGCTTCTAGTGATATAATGGCTGTCTATATCTCTGAGATGTGGTATCATGATTACTTGCATTATTTACATTATTCGAATTGTAATCCTAATCTCCATTACCATATTGACAACGTTTCGGCCGTTGTACGCTTCGGCCTCCTTCGGTTGATTGGAATTTCGAACCGAAGCCTTTATTTCTTCCATGGAAAACAATGTACCCCGATGGACGAAATAAAGGTTTCGGTTCGAAATTTCAATCACCTGAAGGAGGTCGGAGCGTAAAATTGCCGAATCGTTGTGTATATCGCAATGTCATCATCATTCGGATAACAGTCTGAATAATGTAAATAATGCAAGTAGCTGTCAGATGATTTTCACCGTTAAAAAGGAGAAAGGCTAAATGGAAACAAGGAAGACAATGACCTTGTAAAAACAACATTGAATAAATTATTCCACACTGGCGCCAACTGCTGGCTGACATTAACAACTGTCAAATGATTTTCACCGTGAAAAAGAATGGATCACACGCACAAAAACGCATAGATATATACATACACGGACGCAGATATACAATGAAGTCCCAAGTCGTCTTCGAAGTATGAAGATCCATCAAATCAGTTCTAAGAACCAACCAAACAAACTAACCACACATACGATTTGACTGCAGTAGTGAAAGCTTGTGCCAGACAAGCTACACTTTTCGCAAGAACCGAATACAAGGAACTGGTACATATGTCACACCACAAGCTAACCAAACGATCCTCCTCAGGTTTCTAATTCAGGGTTGTCCTTTTACAACCAAGACTAAAGAGCAATGTTAATTCACTGTTAATAACTCATTCTCGAAATTCCCCCCTTATTCTCTTGGTATAGTATGCTGAAATGTGTACATCCTACGCATGCCCCACCAAAATATGACCATAGCCCACCGGTGAGGTATGCTCCCCACATTGGGAATCATTTTATTAAAGAGTAAACAAACACTATAGTAAATCGGAAGGAAGGCTGTAGGGATGTAAGTGTTGACTGGACTCTGCTAGAGAAAAGTTGTGTCTTATTTGTATTTACATGATTGGTTAAAACGCTTGACTTACGAGGCGTTCTATGGATGCCGAGCTGAGGAACAAAATGGAGTGAAGTTTATGAAATTCTTTTTTTTTAAATGGATAGTTATGGGAGGACTAAATGGAGACAGGCAAGACAATGACCTTGGAAAAAACAACATTGAATAAATTATTCCACACTGACGCCAACTGCTGGCTGACATCAACAATTGTCAGATGATTTTCACCGTTAAAAAGAACGTATCACACGCTCAAAAACGCATAGATATATACATACACGCACGCAGATATACAATCAAGTCCCAAGTCGTCTTCGAATTAGGAAAGTCCAGCAAATCAGTTCTTAGAACCAAACAAACAAACTAACCACGCATACGATTTGACTGCAGTGGTGAAAGCTTGTGCTAGACAAGCTACACTTTTCGCAAGAACCGAATACAAGGAACTGGTACATATGGCACACCATAAGTAAGAGAATAAAATTAGACTAAGATGGAAAATTCGGAAAGACACACCCTTCAGTATTTGTTTTTTGGCTTTACTTCTTTTTCTTCTCACATTTTAAAACCGAAACGCACATTGGGGAAATGCAAAATTAAATAAATGGCAAAAATAAAATAATTTTTCAATCTTTTCTTTTTTTTAATTTCGACAAAGAATCTTTGTAATGCATCATCTCTTAAAAGATACGCCCTCTTCAGAGGGAATAACACCGAAGATTAAAAACCAAGAGAAATAAAAGATGTGTGATGAGTAAAGTTTGTAGAGAAATTTCTGAGATCACATTTTCACCTTTTATGTCTTTTATTAAAAGAGAAACATAAGGCAAAATTCAGTTTCAATTATTCCATTCTTTCCGTGTTTTAAATTTCTTTGTTTGCATCGCGATTAGTCGGCCATTTCTTCTCAAGGTTTATCTCCAGGGACCTTGCTTGGCAGTTGAGATAGTTACGTATTTGTGTTTGACGCTTGCCATTAATGTTCCACCTCTGGTGAAAACCAGAAATAGACAGACTGTTCTTGCTTCTCATTCCACTTATCTATCTATCTATCTATCTATCTATCTATCTATCTATCTATCTTGGTCTGTTAGAATGATACATACATACACATATACATACAGCCCGAGAGAGATACGAACATATATAGATAGGTACATACATACATTCATAAATGCATGCATACATACATACGATCTATCTATCTATCTATCTATCTATCTATCTATCTATCTATCTATCTATCTATCTATCTATCTATCTATCACAGTTATTTATATCTGTATATTCTAACCACTTAATAACGGATAATTTTCTATAAGCAGCTGCCTTTTTCTGTTTCCACTTACATCGAGCACTCCTATATATATATATATATATATATATATATATATATATGTGTGTGTGTGTGTGTGTGTGTGTGTGTGTGCGTGCGTGTTTATGTGTGCGTGTATGTATCTGTGTTTGTGTGCGTGTATGCGTGCGTGAATGCATTGATAAACTTGATAGCTAGGACCAGACTGCCATATCACTTGCGAAGCCAGGAAAGAAGGCGCGTAATTTTGGCACTAAAAGCCATGTTCTATAGTTCTTCAAATTCTTTTCCTGAAAAAAAAAAAAAAAAAAAAAAGAGAGTCGATTCGAGGAAGACTTTACTCAGGAGTGATAAACCCGTGCCAAATTGTTTGTTTTTTTTTCGGTGAGAAGCCGTGGTTCCTCCACTGACACAAACGACCAATATCATTCCAATTTGGGTTTCTCTTTTACTTTGTCTGCATAACTTTGGTTCTTCTTAGTCAATTCGTGTCCGATCTGATTATCTTTGAATCAGAACAACTTGGGAGATAGTTTACGTCTGGTAACGGAATCATTTTTAATTCCTTTATATATATATATATATATATATATATATATATATATATATATATATATATATATATATATGTTCTGATGTTTGAATTCGCCTAACGGATCAAGTGTTCACACCATTACGACGTTTATCCAGACAATTTATTATCATTTCACCCCAAGCAAGGCAATTAAATAACCGAGTGTTTGAGAATATGAGAAAAAGAAAATATTATTAGTGAAGAATAAGTGAAGAATGAGTGCAAAATGGCGTGGTTTGGAGACATTACAAGGCACGAGAGCCTGCTGCAAGACCATCATGCAAGGTACCGTTTAAAGTGGGAGAATATGCCAGTCGCAAAAACTGGTCGGAAAATGTCAAAAATGGACTGGTATGAGTGTAATAGAATTGCTGGTGGCTGCCGTTAATAGACCGTTGTGGGAAAGAGTGTGGCTTTTGCATTCGAATTCGCCATACGATTACAAAAGTCAAGGGGATGATGATGATGATGAAGAATAAAAGAATAGGAAGAAAAGAATAGGAATAAAAGAATAGGAAGAAAAGAATAGAAATAAGAAGAAAAGAATCGGAATTAAGTCGTCAGAATTTAACGACTGACAATGCATTTAAAATTTTGAAGATCAAAGTTGAAGCGCGAATGAAGAAACTGTTAGCATAAAACTTACGGTTGCATCAAACCATTTCAACATTAAACGAGTTTGAGACCTAGACATATGTTGTTGTTGTTATTGATTATGAGGATGTTGACTGAAGTCTAGATGCCAGGTAAGGACCAATAACATTGCATATTTTTCTTTGCATTTTATCAAGAATCTCTAAATACATAGCTGAATAAAACTGTTAGCTTAGAATTTACGGTTACATCTAACCATTTCAACTCAAAAATTAATGAGACCTTATCGCCAATCTAGTACTGCGCTTAAATTCGTAAATTCTAGGAACCATAGACGGGAGTTCATCAAAACAATGGCTATGATAGTATTTATAGAAATGATTTCGGCGCTGGGTAAGTGATTGAAGTGCAAATGCCAGGTCAGGATAAATAGCATTTCAGATTGTTTTTTGTATTTGCTCTATCTCTATTTGCATGGTAAATGTACTAATAAGTAAAATTCATTCGTTCACTCAGTTCAGACCTTTACTTCTCGTCCGCCATCGGAACTCCCACCAAGAACAACGGGCTACGACTCCTACAACTCTTCGCTGACACAAGCCTGTACGTCTCAGTCTCGTGGTTCCCGAGGAAACGAATCCATCACTAGACTTGTTACAGTAAAGACGTAGAGACTCTGTGGGTCTTGGACTACATCCTGATCAACTGTAGCTGGTGATACAGCATCACCAAATACCGCTCGGGCATACCGACCACCGCCTACTCATCGCCAGCCTAAGAATGCGCAATGAAGACCAAAGCAACCAACAAATATGAGCCGAGAGTTGACTCGTCCTGCTTTCACAACCCAACTACCCGGACTCAGTATAGATGCTCGATTGCCAACGCGTACAATGCTCTGGCTGCCGACGACACCGGCGACTTGTCGACCTTCATATCATCTGTCACCGGGAATAAATCTGAATTTTTAAAATACCTATGATATTTTCAGATAAAGATTGAAATCACTTTGAATCTTCAATTAATATTTTACTGATCCTGTACGAATTATAATATGGCACAGATATCATGCATATTAGAAAAAGTACCAGTTTTTACGTGAGATGGTCATCATCAGCAACAGCAATTGTCGGGGTACCTGGGAGCAGAAGAAACAGACAACTCCCTCCAGAATATCTCTCAGGAGTCCGCTCTTTGATTTTGCCTGGTCACCTTTTGCGTTGTCGCCCCAGCTTGGGTCCGCCTTCGACAGTGACTTGCAAGATAGTTATGCAGAGGCCGTTATACCATATGACGTGGCCAAATTATGACATCGGCCGACGCTTAGTAGTGGCGAGGAGAGATTCCTGTAAGCCCATGAAACATTTGACTTTTCTCCGTACACAGTTATTGGATATTGGGCACACCCAGTACGAGATACGAAGGAGCTTTCTCTATTTGTTCTCGAATATCTGAATCGTTTTTCCTTGTCTCAATCAGGAGTGTCCAAGTCTCATACCCATAGAGGAGGGGTACCCCATACTGGGTACTTCATACTTTCGGCCTTGTGCCACATCTGAGCTACGCTTGGAAAATCACTACCCATAGAGGAGGATGATACGACCAGCCATTTGTAGGGACTGAACTTGGTCTGGAAGCTGATGTTTCTGTTCGAAGAAAATTCAATTAAATCTGATAAAATCAATGACCAAAGAATCTATCCTTCGTCTCGGATATAGTAGCTGAGAATCAATTTTATTGCAAACATCAGGTTGAACGCGTATATAAGATCCATCGCTAAAGTAACTGGGAAAATGGTCGATTTCTTGTACCACTTCAGTAAATATCTGACCCCCTCCTGTCAGGCTTCATCTTTACTAGAGTCAGATCAAACTAAAAATGGTATATTGCCGTCATATCTAGCCTAGTGTATCTAGCACAATACAAAATGGCAGAACTTAAAAACGTCTACGAGGCAGAGCTTCTTTCCCAGAGAGAAAATATCTCACGCTTCTCGTTGCTCTATCGCTATTTACATGGTAAATGTACTGACAAGTAAACTTCATCAGTTCATTCAGTTCAGACCTTTACAGCCAAAACCCGCCATGCAACGGATACAGGGTCGACTAATCTTCGTTCTCTTTACATTCTATTGGTTGGTAAGAAGAAAGTTACATTCGAACAGCGCCTCCTCAAGAATCGTTACTTTGTGGAACAGGCAAGCGAGAAGCTATATACCTGATCACTTATTTTATAATTTCACCCCAAGAAGGCAATAAAGCCACTAAGATGTAATTTGACTTGAAAACAAGACATCGGAAGAAAGTTCTACAAGCGAAAAGTATGAGGGGAGAAACTGTCAGCATAGAACTTACAGTTATATCTAGCTATTTCAACAGTAAAACGATGAGACCTATTCGCCAATCTAGTAGTATACTTCAAATTTTGCGGTCGAGGTGCCAAGAAGGAAAGTTCATTGGGAGAATTGCTATAAAAATATTTATAGAAAACACAAAAGGAAACCACGTGAAGGCGGTGGGAAAATGTCTGAAGTCGAGATGCCAGGTCAGGACCGATCACATTGCAGAACCTTCTTTAGTCTTTCGTTCATAAACTAAAATTAAAGTAAAAAATACCAGATAAAAATTATGAATTGCTTACAGTACTTCATTTAACAGTTTGTTTATGGTTTTATTTTTTTAAATATCAATGAGTTATTTAATACCGACAAGAGTTTTAGAACAGGTTCGTATGAATCGAATATGTATTTGTAAGAAATCAGTTTGTAGATCAGGTTCATTGGCGTATTTTTGTAAAGAGGGGTTTTGTCGGGAGTCAAATGTACTGCTGCTAATATTTTTTTTCAAAAATTTATTGCTGGTATTTTTACTTTAAAATCTATATTTATATTTTCACAGTGTTTTAACCCCTTGCGCTTACATCTAGCAGCCATTTCATCTGTAAAATAATGAGACCTTGCTGCCAATCTAGTACTGCGCTTAAATACATAAAGTCTAGCTACTATAGAGGAAAGCTCATCAAAACAATAACTATGATAGTATTTATAGAGACGGCTCAGGCGAGCTACGTTTCGGCGGTAGGAAAGTGACTGAGCTCGAGATGCCAAGTCAGGACTAATAACATTGCAGATTGTTCTTTGTATTTTAATCAAGAATCTCTAAATACATAGCACCAGACCAGAGGTGGCAGCAATATTTAATATTCATGAAATTACGAATTAATTTCCATGAGGATAGTTTCTTAAACTTATAATTTCTAATCTGACACACATTTGAATAAGTCATGACGTACATTACCTTTACTAAAGTTCACCCATTTCAAGGCTCAAGAGCCGCTCAAAGAAGAGTGTTACTAAAAGAGATGCATGATATGTATGTAAAAGAGAAAGCAAGAAGTGAAGGCTCTAAGAATATGAAGGATAGATAATTATTGACTCATGTTTTGATTTTATTGTTCCAGGAGTCATCCCCATGGAAGTGTGTTCTACAAAGTAGAACTTCACTTTTTAAAGTTGGAATACAGAGGAAGTGAAAGTGATTCAACCTCGTGGACGTAACATGTGGGTCTGAGCTGTAAAAGTCTGAACTGGTGGAACCAAAGAATGGAGTTCATCTGAATATTTTCCTTGGAAATAGCGATGGTGTAGTGATAGACTTACGGCATTGCATTTTTGGGTAAAGAGGCTACGCCCCTGGACTCTGGAAAATGAGGATCACGTAGCTCCACCCAGATCTGGCAGCAATACATCATTTTTGGTCTGATATGACTTTTGGAAATGTAAAGCGTGGCAGAAAGATTCAAGTACTGTTT